ATATATATATATATATATATATATATTATACGAGTCTTTAAATATATAATTTTTATTTATTAAATTTATTTGAAGTGTTAAAATATTTATGTGATTAGTTGAAGGAAAAATTATCGAAATCTTAAAATTAGAAATGACCAAAGTGAAATAAAATGTTGATTTAGGGGTAAAAAGTGTAAGTCTTATTAAAATAGTGAAATCAGGGGGTTAGTGGTAAATGTCAGAAAGTTTAGGGGAGCAAATGTCATCTTTTTCAAAGATGAGGGACCTGTTTTGCCAATAGTACAAGTCTGTTTAAGAAAACGACCCATCAGCAAAAAAAATCGCGATTTGGTCCGATTTCGTCAACTAATATGCCAAAACTCTTGCATATAAATATAGAACACCGGTTTATGATTGTTTTGGTTCAAATATCTCGAAAAATAGTTGAGTTTTGAGAGAGAAATCGGAGTTTGAAGTTCGGGATCGAAAATCTCGGTTTTTCACCGATTTTGGATGAGATTCTTAACCAAATCTCTTGATTTTTATGTCTATGACTTCKTTTTTAAGTACTCTATCAAACCCCAGTAGCCTCATGTCTCATAATTGTGTTTTCGTTGTTCKATTTTTATGTTTTTAAGTTGTTAAGTTTTAGTTTTAAAAACAAACTTTAAATGAGTAAATGGAACTCATTTCTTGATGAAAATTCGTGTTATTTATGTCAAAATGTTGGTAAAAATATTACCAAGAGTTTGGCACAAAAAGAATGAAGAAAAAAGATTAAGAAACAAGCCGTTTTCAAGTTTTTTAAGTTTCAAAACGTGCAGAGGTTGTTTCCTTATTTTTGTTGCTGTTTTGAACTGGGTCACGGGCCTAGAGGTTGTTTCCATATTTTGTTGCTGTTTTGAACTGGGCCACGGATCTGATCGGCCCAACCCATGATCTAAATTCGTTTCATATTAAAAATAGGCAGGAAAGGGAGTGTTGAGGGCGGGATTCAAACCCGCGACCTCAAGCAAAGACTTCCACGCCTTAACCAGTAAACCGTGTACGAGACTTGTTATTTTATATGCGCACATAATTAATATATTGTATACATTTGAGTTTTAGAAATAACTGCATTTTCAGAAATTTAATTTTCTCTATATAAATTTTATAAAACTTTCAT